TTTAAAAAAAACTAAAAATATAATAAAAAAGAAACAATGGGAAAAAGGGTGTTGGTGGGAGTAGAAGGGTGGGAGGAGGGTGTGTTTGGGGGGGGGGGGGGGGTTGGGGGGGTGGGGGGGGGGGGGGGGGGTGGGGGGGGGTACAATTTTCTAAGATGCCTGATTTCGGGAGGTTCATGTTAAAAATGCACAGAATATATAAATGATGGGGGTCGGAATATTAAGACACAGGACTGCTTCTATGTAAAAGTTGTCAAGCTTTATTGTAATTGAGGCAAATCCACGTTTCCTTCAAAAGAAGACAAAAACAATACACTTTGGCGAAACTTTGTTAGCAACAAAATGTTACCCTTATAAAGCTCGGCCCAGGAACCTATCAGCAATTTCTCCTACCAGGAATGTACCGTGCATGTACTCACATACACCTATGCATACAGCCGACTTTTAGCGCTTTTCTGTATATCTCAAAAACGGCTCGACAGAATTCTTTTTAAACCGTAACACATAATCTTCGTTATGTATATAATAATGTCTAAAGCTTTCATTGAGATTGATGCACCGAAACACCTTGAAATTTCAAGATGAACCTAGCCTACGAACCAACCGAAAATCCGCGTTACAACATTCACTGTTTTGACGTTATGCTAATTTTTCCAAATTAATGCTCACCAAATTAATGCTCACCATAAACACCTCCATAACTGTGATGTGCATTCATATAACACTAGAAGTAGGAATTCCTTCCGTTTGTCCTACTGCACGGCAAATGTACGGGAATTTTCACTTCGTTTACAAGGGCCCAAAATATTTAATTCCCTGAGCCTTTCTTAATTTATTGACTTATGCAGCCTCCCTCGAGTTTAAATTCGGATCTTTTTGCAGAGCTAACACTCTCGGATAAGACGAAAAAGCCACCTAAAACTTTCGTGACGACCAAAGTTCCCTTAAAACATCCGAACAAATAAATAGTTTTTAGGGCAACTCTAAATTGACCAAACAGGCCTCTAAAGCATAGAGAAAACCATCTGAGACACTTAGGGTGTATTGGAAACGTTCAAACGTTGGGTACCCCTGCAAAGGATGCACTGAATTATCAAAACAGCGGGATATCCTCGTACATACTAGCTAAATGAATATTCTGACCAACTAAATAGTAGCAGGCCCATTAGGATTAAGATATGAACGTTTTCAAGTTAATTGATGTAAGTATAACAACAATAGCTTACCTATTCCTCTGGTCAGAGTTTTCAGGTACTCACAATTAGTGATGATTCTGCGAACGAGGACTGGAAATAGACAAAAAAATTCAAGATTCAAGTTTAAAATTCATTTAGCACCGACGACTAGTATACTGCAGCCACAACTTGAATAGTACAGGTATAAATTCACAAAACTTATAATCAAACGACAGCTACAAATTAATTCACCAAATTTATAATCAAACGACGACTCAGGGATAATTTAGTAAAAGCGAATGCATTCAATAAGCTTTAGCTTACCAGCTTTTGTGAAGGACTGCTCAAAACTGTAACCCTGAATCACATCACGCGAGCATGACCTCACAGTCATGCGCAGAAGAGTTTTGGGTCGAGACTGGCCAATGACGAGTCACCCATTGTTACGGCGCATGTGCAGATTGGTTTGGCTTTTTTTCTATTGTTTTGTTTGGTTTTTATTGGTTTGTTTGTTTTGGTTATTGTTGTTGTTTTTCACATCCAAGACCCGTTGAACGTATACGTCCAAATATTCGCCCCATGCAAAGACTGAACTCCGTATTCCAGAATCCTGGAAATTTTGGCTTGTGGAATGTTCTGTTGCACTTTGTAATACCTATCCCACTTTGCAATAAAATTGTCTCACTTTATAATAACAAAGCTGTCGCACTTTGTAATAACAGACCATCGATATCCGGGACTTTGTAATAAAATATGCTGTCGTACTTTGTAATAAACTTGAAAGAGATGGTGGGAGGATAATTAGGGCCAATACACCTTTTGCTGTTCATTACGAGAAAATACGCAATCATTTCCGTGAAACGGCGACCAATAGTGCGAAGATACATTCATTAGCGCGAAAATACGAACATTTGCGCATATATCGGATTCAATTACGATCTTTGCATTTTAATCAACATTCAATAACACTTTTGGGCATTCATATGCGTCTTTGGGCATACAAAAGAGAGAAATGTACTTTCATTAACGCCAACATCAAAGTCATTAACACCATCTTGAAAGTCAATAGGGACAACTGACATACATTAAAGTGCAAACACTATTCATTAACATTTTTATGACACTGTTTGCAATTCATTAGCATTCCTGGACAACCTTAGGATGGATAAGACAAACATTAATGTGCTTGTACAATCAATTGAGTGTTCTTTACATTTAATATACAAAAATCGCTTTTCAATTAAACAATAGAAATTCAAACAAATTTGGCCTGAATTTCAGTCCGTTAAATGTATATCCCTCAAATATCTGGCTATTAATACATTTTGGGAGGTAGGTTTGCATGAAATGGTACCCCTTAGCACATTTAGCAGCTGTCACAACGTCATGTTTCTGCGCACGGCTTCAAGCACTGCAGTTGTTGTTTCCGAACTCCGCTAGTAGGATTGCTAGGGCTTTGCCCTCATTCCTGTTATGCGTCTTTAAATTTCCGGACTCGAGATGTCGGCCTTTGGTGTCGCTTTCAGACAACTTAAATCCTTTTCAACGATGTCGAGGGAGGAAGCATAAGCTGCGTACGTATGGAACGGGAATGGCCAAAGCTAGGTGGCTGCCAGGCACCCCGTCATACGCAAAGACCGCCGACTTATCGGGATCCATTTTTTCCTCGCCAACACGGTATTCATTACTCCAGCAGCTGCCGAGGAAAACATTTGATAGGTAATATTGCCATGGTCATAGTCAAGTTTCGTCCTCTTTGGCCGCACACTTAGCAGTACGCCCTCCACTCCCTGTCCCGCCCCACCATGACTTCTGGCCGTCTAGGGTAAATGTATAGCCGCAGCCGTCGACAAACACACAGTAGCGAAGTACGGCGTGATTCTTTAAACAAATTCAGGCCAATTTTTTGGGGGAATTGGTATTGTTTAATTGAAAACATATTTTTGTATATTAAATGTAAAGAACGCTCAATTGATTGCGCAAGCGCATTAATGTTTGTCTTATCCATTCTAAAGCTGTTCAGGAATGCTATTAAATTGCAAACAGTGTCATAAAAATGTTAATGAATAGCGTTTGCACTTAAATGTTTGTTCTTTGTCCCTAATGATTTTCAAGATAATGTTAATGATTTGAATGTTGGTGTTAATGAAAGTATATTTTTCCCTTTTGTATGTCGAATGACGCAAATGAATACCCCAAAATTCTGTTGAGTGTTGATTAAAATGCAAAAATCGTAATTGAATCTGATTTACGCGCAAATGTTCGTATTTTCGCGCTAATGAATGTATCTTCGCACTATCGGTCGCCGTTTCACGCAAATGATTGCGTATTTCCTCGTAATGAACAGCAAAAGGTGTAATAATAAGCATCAGCAACAACAACGACATTAATAATAATAATAATAATAATAATAATAATAACAATAATAATAATAATAAAATTCCACTGAACGGTTTTCAGCACCAGTTCGTCAAGTGGTGTCGGAGGAAAGTGATCACAACAACTGCGGCCTTCTGGCTTCAAGATCTTTGTAGGAAAGTACAAGTCTTTCTATGCTGACGACCTCGAGACCATCAGATTGTTGTCGAAGAACCTTTCTTGGGAACTAGATGGTTCTCACAAGAAACAGACGATTATTTTTTTCAATTGTCTCCTTTTTATTCTTTACTCCAATGTCACACAGTTAGCCCAACTCCTATTTTACAATTCTCTGCGCTAAATCAGTGTTATGCCCATTTTTATATCAGCCAGGAAACCAGCTACTTAGCGCAAACCGAATGCTGATGTAAGTCTAATCCGATTGGTTAAAACAGTCTCATTAGCATCTTTAGCATCAAACCATCGAAGATGATTGGCTAGAACTTTTAAATAAATTAACCACAGACGTGATTGCAAAACTCAGAGGATAAAAGAAAAATGCAGTTCAAGGTACAAGACAGAATTTAGAACAATAGTTGTTTAACAACAAAAACACCTAAAGCCAACTCGGCGCTAGGGGGCCTCGTTGGCTATCTTTCATCTCATATCCAACGCGCCCTCGTGGAATAATTGTTAAATAGCCCAGTCAGAACGTAACGAAGCATTGGTAATAGACAACTAGCTGGATTTTACTAAAACACGATATGCAATACGATACAATACAATAGTATAAATAGTACACGAAACAATACCGTGTAATGCTGGCAATACAATGCAACACAGTTATGATTCTCCTTCCACTTCCCTCCTTCTGAACATTATCTATTGAAGGATTTTGATTTTGATTTTTGATGGTGTAGCTGTTACAGTGAAACCCTACAATCTACTATCACATAAGAAGCCACTAAAATAACACTGTACCACGCGTATCAAGGTTATTTCATGCTACTTTTTCTATTTTTGTCACAAGCACTTTGCGTTCGTAGTTGATGAGTTCATTGTCACTGACATTTTGAAAATGTTCATTGTCTAACTCGTTTATTCCCTCTTCAATTTGGTCATCGCTTTATTTCTGAAATAAACTTACAAAACGGCATCGATATCGTTCGTACAGCTTCGATTTCTTTATCCCCGCTGAAAAGGAGAACTCCTCCTCAAAAATGTTTGCATTCAAACCGATTTTTCTCAACAATAGGTCGCTGAATTCATTCTCTCGCTCAAAGCATTGGCTAAGAAGCATTTTTGCACTTTTAAATGACGGGAGAGTGCTCTTGATGGCGTTGAATTGCAAGAAAAAACCACCGGGACGTAGACTACGGAGTATTCCCTCAAAAACAGCATCGGCGTTTACAAAATGATGTGCACTTATAGTAGCTATCACTCGGTCAAACCTCTCGCTAATTTGCGGATTCGAAAAAAATTCTTCAGCTGTTTTCAGAATCGAGTTAACCCCTTTCTTTTGTCGAGCAACATCTTGCATTTCCACACTGGGGTCAACACACCAAATAGGATTGTGAAGATCTGAAAATTCAAAGAGATCTTTCGAAATGGCACCCGTTCCACTGCCAATGTCAGCGACCACGTGCTCTGGCTTTAAGTCCAAACATTTCATTAGGATGGGAATGTAACCTTGGTGAACTTCTTTGTAGAAGTAGTCATACTTGTCTGCAATATTGCGATAATGATCTGCAAAGAAGAGCGAGAGCCTTAATGAATAACAGTCCAGTGTCCGTGTCTGTCCCCTGTGATATGTTTCTGTATTTCTTTCTGTTGAGTAACGTTAAATTTGTTGAAGATTTTTCGTAACTTACTGGATGCAGGGTTTTATTCTATTTATTTTTTCCAGAACATTCTGTTACCCTACGTACGGGAAGGCTCTGCCCCAAGGTTCGATCCCTCACCCTGTTTACATACCATTTTTGACAAATTACAGTGGAACCTCTCCTTTGAGACACCTCTATTCAAGTAACACCTCCATTCGGGGGACAGAAAATTTGGTCCCCGAAAAATGTTCACATAATCTCTGTATTTGTTACCTCTATTGAAGGGAAACCTCTATTCAGGGGGAAGGGCCACTTTTTCTGGGTCCAAACCCTGGTTTCACCTCTATTCAGGGGATACCTTAGCAATCAAAAGGTTACTGACGACAAAAATCATTGTGTATTCACAAGTCACAAGGGAGACAGCCACAAAACATGAATTAACTCACTTAAATCAATGTCCCGCACTTAAGGGAATTCAACACACAACATCGCAGAGAAAAATTGATCATGGTTTTTTATACATTATCTAGCTGCTTGAAATGATGACTGCAACAGATTGTGTAGCCTGCCCTGTTAACTGGAAACGGGACCACTCTAGTGCTGGATACCTTACTTTGAGTTTTGTGCTAGACGTAATTTTATGAGGCGGCGCGGGGGCGGGAGTATTAAGTTTTGCAATTGACCGGGAAATGTTTAAACGTTCGAAATAGACTTGCTCACACATAAGCAAGTCGTATGCTATGTGTCAGAGATCTTGTCGTAATGCTTTCAACAGGATGAAACTGGATCACATGATGAAAAGAAAAATGCTAGTAGAAATCCACCGGCAGCAAACGGGCACGCTCAACTATGTTTCTGTTGGAATGGAGAAGAAGAGGACATGAAAATGCAGGTTCGTGTAGCCGATGCAGAAGAAAATGGTCATTAATCAATTATGATTCGAACTTTCGCGCTCTCGTTTTCCCCACTTTCTTAGAGTCTAGCTAGAACAGGATTAATTAGACTTGAAGGAACTTTGGGTGCCTATGGGACAGACAAAAAACCCACAACATCCTACACGCTCATCTCTTTGAAAGGGCCTTGGCTATCTAAATCTAAACATCTAAACAAGAAGTACGCGGTAAACAGATTGGTATTACTGACTGAAATGGTATTGTGTCTTGATAAACTAGGAAAAAGGAATTTCATGGAATTTTCATGAATTTTAATTAATTGTGGTTTCTATGGAAACCAACATAATTCCGGCTTAGCACTATATCTGAAAATGCTTGTATTGGTGACTACTACCAGGGTGCCAAATTTCATGCTTGTACTCTGAAAGTGCCGATTCAACCGAAATTTTGAGCTATGCCGCCGGACTATATGGCAC